CACAAGCCTGGAAATCTAGCAGGTTTCTGATGGCCTCTAAGAAGACAAGGTCAGGACTGCAAGAGGAAGGTACTTCCACAGGGAAAGACCACGCCACCGGTGCTCGTGAGAACACCTTTCCATCACAGGGATGCTTCCTCTTTGAGCTTAAAATAAATATATAACTATATAAATATAGATGTATCTTTCATTCTTGCAGTTAACTGGAGAGCTATTCCAGGTGAGGGATTCATTGAGAGGGATGAAGAGAAGGCAGCAAGAAAAGAGAAGTCTTCTTCACAAATTAGATTACAAGAACACTGAGATTTTGCCTCCGAACGAGCGGTGCATGGAATTTCCTGATGATACAGGCAGTATCCAAATGAACACTGCTCTCTGTGGAAGACACTCCTTCACAGGTAGATGTGACCAGCACTAAAAGGAGCTTGCAACAGTGTCTGTTAAACAGATGAAATGAAAATCCATGAAGAAAACCGACAAGCAGGGTACTTTGAATACACTACACCCAACTGCAGTTCTTTCCTTAGCATCCTTTGGCTGTAAAACTTCCAGATGGAAAGGGTTTCTATTTCTCTATGAACAGTAATGTCTGGAAAGGGTAGAAGAAAAGCATCTCTCGAGAAGTTTCATCCACAGTTCAGTCATTCAGTCCCAGCCCAAGCAAGTGCCTCAGCTATTTTCCATGACACAAGCACTTGGATTTTTCCAAGAGCTGATGTCAGGGCTTTTCATGGAGAAAGAACTGCATTTACAGGGCAAGCAAGGAAGGAGGGCTTCCCCAGCAGCTATTCTCAATGTGGCCTTTGTGTTGCTCTGCTGCTGAAGCCAGGACCCTGCAAGAACTTTTAGTCCCCGCAGAAAACTCTACAAAGGGGAGGGGACAGAGACAGTTCCAGCAGCCAGTACTGTTCTTCCACTCCTGACTGACTTCCAAGGCTCAGAACCATCAGCTTTCCATCTACAGGGCCTGAAGTTACAGCCTTTTAAGACAAGGACACCTATTGTTTAGTATCTCTACAATGGGGAAGAAGCAAACTAAAACTGGGGAGGGGGGGACAGTGGCAGAGAACATAAATAAAACCAAGCTGCTCATTTCCCCAATGCTGCTTTGACATTCAGCCTAAAAGCAAGATTTAAGCAATAGGGATGCTGTTTGCCCACAGAATGGAGTTCAGAGCAGGAATAAACTCGGTTCAGAAACCGATGAAGAACAGAGGTTGTCAAATCACAGGTGATTTCCTCCTACTTTCCACACACGACTGGTTGCAAGTCACTAAATCTGTCCGTTTCCACCATGAGAAAAGAAAAACTGACGTGTTTGAAATGGAAAAAGATGAAATGAATTAAATACCAGAAAGACTGAAAAAGACCTGCAGAAACTGTTATAATAGCAAAAATTGCAGCATGCAGAAGAGAAACGCCCACTGTTTGTTCACTTGCTGCAAGCTCTCATTGCATGAGCCACTCAGCAGAACTGACCAGGTTCAGGCGAAAAGTGAAGCCTTGTGATTTCAAAGTCATAACCCAATTGTCCCACTTATTTAAGTGGGCGATAGATAAACATTCCCAAGCATAGCAAATGCAAGCAGCTGAAATACCCACAGTTTGGCCATACTAAAGGAGCTCCGAAATAGCCCTTTTCTCCACATTTTCACATCATCTTGGCAACCTTAGCTTCAGCTGTTCACGGAGGGGGAGGAGGGAAGCACAGAACACATGTGCTTCAATGCAGTTTTCCCTTCTGAAGCTCATTTTCATCACTCCCTTTGCCCCCAGACTGCTCCTCTATGGAAGGAATCAACCGAAGCAAGGAGGCTTCTTGCGCAGACAGGGTGCGGCAGTCCAAATGAACCTGCCTCCCTAAACTGGAGCTAATTACGGGGAAATGAAATGTTTGCTTTGCTTGCCAATAACTGCAACGCAGAACTGGCTCAATGGAAGCAGCCCTACCCCCCCCGCCTCCCCACCACCACTCCTCCTACACGGGCGTCTGGAAAAGCTTTCGAGTTCGAGGCACAAAAATCAAAGCAAGAGACAAAGGAAGGAGAGTGCTGCGCCGGAGAATCTGATTTCCCTACAGCAACCTACAGCCATCGAGTGCCACGGCATTTGCTTTCACCCGCCGCATGCACAAGGGCCTGGAGATCACTCGTGGTGCCCCAGCGTGTCAAGCAGTGTTTGCATGTCATTAGGCACACAGCCTAGTTTCCTTATTAATGCCATACCTAGCTTGTGGTTGTTATGAACCAGCAACGAGACTAGTGTGGAAACAGTTCTTAAAAACAGCAAAAGACAGCAATTAGAAAGGGAGGAGAAAAAAAAACAACCAACACACTGTGCACGTAATACAACTGGAAATGTAGCTTTCAAAGCACCCGAACACTAACTCCAATTACCCAGCTTTAAGTTTTGCAAATATATGTACAAGGTTCAGAGCCACATTTGAATATTTGGCCCAGAGTTCACATTTCTGGTAAGTAAGGAGTACAGCTGCCTGGCACAGGGGCACCCCACCTCTACAGCTTGTAACTAATACATGTAGCTGGGGTGCAGAAAGCACCCACATTAAGATGTATTTACTATTCCTCCAAGGTGTGTTTCAAAGACCCAAGAAGGCTGCGTTGTTCCTTCACTTCCCTTGTTTTCAGGGTCATATTCGCCTGTCTAGAAATCCAACGCCAACACTTCAAACCCAGGACCTGCCTGCTCATCAGAACTAGGGATTTATCAGTTCAAAGCTAAGGAGGCACTCACCCAAAAAAGCATTTTCAGCCCTGCCTTTCCTTCTCCCACCCAGCCATGGACCTTTGGTCAAACACCACCCATTCTGCATGGGATGTGCAGACAGCATTCACCCTCATGACCTCTGCAAAGCTTCTAAATATTTGCCAGCCGCAATAAACTAATTTACAGCTAATATGTCTTAAACTACCCAAAGGCAAAGTGCTCCCAGTGGCCTAATTTACACCAGGGAAAAACTGAATACACCATTTTACAGAGGAAAGCTGAGAGAGGACCAAGAAATCATTACCACATTGTTGCTTAACCTGTAGAGTGTATTATTAGCTCTTAATCCTTCGCAACTTCCAATCTAGCTAATTCTGCTGGTGAAGTTGCACTCATGTAGATGGAAACACCAAAGGCAACAGAAATCTGAGCTATTTAAGACAAAAAATATGCAGCTAATTGACTATTTCACCTTATTTGCTTCAACATCTCCCAAGAGGGTTTCTATCCCAGCACTGACTCATGTTTTAAAAGGAACCATGGAAAGTTTCTCAACCATGCATCTGAGTTTGTCAAAGTTTACAAAAAGGGAAATATGTGATGTAAACTGAATGACAAAGAGATTAGCAACACTTGGTACTAAAGTTAAAGCTGTCTTAGTTATTTATATGGTCGAAGAAAAATAAAGAGTCTTCTGTGATATGCAAACCTATTCTTTCTCCCCTGAAATGGAGGTCTCGCCTATAAAGCACAAGACAAAAGATGCACATAGCACACATTGCATGAGAAGGAGAAAAATCTACACAGGCATTCATGGCATGCTTTGCTCCTTCACATTTCGTCTTCCCCCTTCATCTAAATTACAGGATAAATCCAGCAAGACCAACTGCAAAGGACTGGAGCAGAACACAGGATTAGGATTTCACAGCAAATCTAGGCCCTCTTTCTTCTACTAGAAAATGGAAGAGAAAAAAGCCAGTAGCAAAGCTATGGTACTTGTAAAATGGCTCAAGATCCTGAGAACAGTATGTGAGTCAACTGCATTGCTATTAACAGACTTCTGAATATGTTTGTATTAGTATTTTCCTCTTGGGTCTCTTAAACTAAAAAATACAAGGAGAGAAAACCACATTTAAGCAGGAAACCTACCAGCTGCTATAAGGCCATGGCATCAGAATTCCTCAAGACATGTGGCTGCAGTATAGAGATAACCTAGCTATGAGAAATATCAATACCAGCTTTGATTTCCCCACCTGCTTCACTTCGAGCAGTTCTTGGTACCTCCTCCTCATATAGGCACAACGCTGAGAACTGCCCATTCTCACTGCCTTTGGTGAGAGCAGAGCTTGCAGTAACTTGTCACTCAGTATTTTAGACAGTTACCTCTTCATGTGAGAGCCATCTACAGCGCTGGAGAATGAGCATCTGTCCACTTTATAGCACATCCACTCAAAAAAAGGCTTTTTACACATACACTTTCTACATCCGCATGTATATGCAAAAACCAAATTCCCCAGCAGCAACCAGCATCTCGCAGCCCTTCTACATTTAATCCTCATACCCAACATTAGCAGAAACTACTGCAAATACAGAGAAGTCTCTCAATGGCTATCCCTAGGTTTACGCTGTCTCAGTTCTGCACCAACAGTACTGTGCAGACCATCATTATGACTACCCTCTACTGATACAATTTGCTTAATCTTTAGAATACTTTAGAATAAAATAAAGGGGGGGGGGGGAAGGAGGAGATTTGATCAGTGAAAAACATATTCAGGAAGAAAACACCACTGAAAACACTCCAAGATGGTTTCTTGAACACTAATGGGTAATTTAACATCAACACGCATAAAAATATCAGATCATTGAAAATCACATTCATTTAGACTGCAAAAGCTGGTGAGAAGGTTCTGCTAACATGCTGGTATGCAATTCAGCGTTGGGAAATGGAAAGAAGGTAGTGCTGCCAGCATCTACATCTGAGGCATCTTTCCTAGCTGTCAAAACCTTTGTTCTTGAGCTGAAATACCAAGGCACAGATTTCTGCAGCAAGCATATTTAATTGTCTGTTTTTACAATGAAAATATAGAAGAGTAACAAAGGTTCACATAGCAGCTATTAAAAGAGAAAAAAATAAGAATAACATTCCCCCCCACCCTTTTACCAACACATACTAAAGGAAAAACCTTTTTTCTCTTCCCTGCATTGAAGGAAGCTATTTTCTGATCTTTCAGTATATTTCTATGTCACAGAGTAGGAACAAAGACAGATATTACCTGTTTCACAAGACAAAGTCATCTGAACAGGGAGATGCCAAAGGCCCATTTCCAGGGGGAGTACACTGAGACCAAGTCCTCTCCAAGGAGTTCAAGCTACCCCTCTTGGAAGCTTTCTCTTTTTTTCACGCTTATCCGATGTCCTTGAGAGGCATCTGCCTGATTGTTTCACTGGCCACTTGAGGGAAGGGAAGAAACTCCACCTCTTTTCTCCCACCTCCTCCCAACCACCATCAGCTGTGGCCCAAAGCTGCGCTGCTAATGGACGCACAGATAACAGCATCCACGTACATCCCACATATGCATATATGGGAGACTACATACAACGAGAAATTAGAGGAGAGCTAGGATTTTAAAATCTAGCATTTCCAACTCTCCTGAGGGACAGAACAATATATGCCTATATATGTATTTATGCACACACAATACACAGATATCTACATTCTGTATGTACTATATGTATGTATATGTCTATATTACATATATGCATGTGCATGCATGTTATTAAATGGGATCACTGATCAAAGAAACTGCATCACACAAGACACACGAACAAAGGAGAGGCATAGGGCAGAGAGATTTTTCTCCTTCGATCCACTTCCAGCCTGTTACACTTTGCCACATAATGTATTTGTTTTCAGGCATCCTGAAAACACCCGACCACGGCGGCACCTGAAAAGCACACAGGCTCAGAGAAACAGAGCCTCTGAATTGTTTTAGGAGAGAAGAGGGCAGGAAAGAGGGTGAGAATGAAAGCATGCCTCTTTCTGTCAGCCGGGGAAAGAAAGTGGGAGGTCAAAACAGGGGGGCAAGGAGCTTACTGCTCTTCCAGCTTGTCTGACTGGTCAAGCCCTGGGGAAGAAGGATTGGAGGGTGAAGGGGCTGTTTTCTTTTTCTGCCCCAATAACCTAATTAAGTTGGTGAGCAGTGCTAGCGGGATAGAAATTTCTTCACGCTACACTGTCTGTTTGTGTTTGATTAATGTAAATCTTCCCAGGGCTCTAACCATGCCCCAGGCACTGCGATGCCTGACTCTCCATTAACAAGCATCCCAGCCTGCACATACAGCAGGAGGAGACAGAAAGTAAGATCTCTATTTTAGCCTTTGCCATAAAAGCTCTCCAACTCTGCCAATATAATTTTTGGTGATTTCAATTACCATTCTTCAGAAAATTACTCTTTCCCCCCCAAAAAAATCATGGGGCCTATCAAAGATAAAACTGCAGCAAATCACTTAATGTATTAATAGCAGTTACTTTCTTTTGCATTTCCTTAGTTCTCATGACCAAATATTTTAGACTTACACTCACCACAACTTCTGTGCTTCCCAGTCCAATGCGTGCTGGTACCAAATATAATCTCCAAGCCACAACTGCATCAAGGCTACAATTACACAGCAGACAGGAAGCCAAAGAAATCAGCTCCTACCCCTATATCTCTGCGCTCCATGGTTCTAAGCATGCCATAATTTCCCAGCTAGAGCTTGTATTTTCCATGCTTCTATCTTTTCCAGTGGCATGCATTATCATTTTCTAAATAGTGGGAAGCTGCATTTCATTGGTCTGTATTTTGAAAGGTTTGCCCAACTCCTCATTTTCTAGGAACTTCACAAATCCAAAAAGAAAATGTCAGCTCTCAAAAAGAAAATGGTAACCAGAGGAAAGCAAAAAGCCCAGTACATAGCCAGCTACTCCAATACTCACAGGCCAGCACAGCCCTTCCTTACAGAGTCCTGGTATACGACCCAAAGGACAGGAGGAAAACAAGAAATAAGACCAGTACTTTCCTTAAGCCAACATGGAATCACAAAGAGTTAAAGAAGCAAGGGAAAAGTCGTTGCAAATCCCAGAGCAGAGCTTCATACCCAGTTTATTCACGCCCGAGTGAGAATCACGTGCACCGAGCAGCCAGTGCTAAGGCATAAAGAGGGTGTCAAAACAGAGATATTTTTAAACCTGGATCACATTTTAAAACCAAGTATTTCCTAATGCTCCTCTATGAAGCGATACACAGTGTATTATGTGATAATACATGATGAGCAGGCCAATATCCTTACTTTACTAAACTACATTTTACTTAAAACACTGTTGTTTCCCATTTCCTTCATTGCACAGAGGAACTTTACCAACTTCAGCAGTCCAAACAGCACGTTCCAACAAGCAGTGCTTGGAAGGGATGGTCAGACCCAGATCTGCCCCTCTCCACAGAAATCCACGTTCCCTAGCTGTGTGCCTCAGTTTACCCTTCAATAACACTGCATATTGCCCTCGTGGAGGGAAATACCATGAGTTTACAATATCTAAGTTGCTCTCTAATCATAAGAGCAAACACTGTAGAAGATTCCTTATTATATCCCCGAAAAACTCAAAATCCTCTCTTGCAATTTGCATGTAAAATACTTCATTTGAAACCTCTGAGGTCAGCGAAGAAATGGAGGACAGCAACAGGAATACGCTTGAAGGCTGGGTTATGCTTTTACTCCACAAGGGACATTTTCAATCCCCCTTCAACAAAAAAAATCTCTTCCTGGCATCACCACTTGGAAAAAGAAATGCATTTGTACCATGAAACACTCTTAAAGCTCCAGAAATAGATATTGCAGCCTTCTCGTCATTATTCCAAAGTCAAAAACACTCTGAGGAATCCAAATGAAACTTCAGTCTATCGGGAAAAGCATCAAGTAGAAAAAGGGATTTAAGCACAGGGTACGGCAACAGCACTTATGGAAAAGTACAATGAGAATGAACTCTGGAGCCTGTTTCATTTGTTCATTTCTTGCTCTAAGATTTCTTTCACACTGCAAAAAAGCCATATGGAAGGCTCCAGCGTAAGTAAGCAGGGCCAGTCCTGATTGCTTCTTTCCTTACATACTGAACTGCTGAAAGACCATTGCTTGCTAAAACAGCAGCCACCTTTTGAAGCTTATTATGCCCAGACTCAAAATATCACAAAGGTGCTATGCATCACGACTTGAGGCAAAGCATTCTTACTTACGATGGGGAAGGGTATATAAATAACTGATTTTTAACAGGTTTATTATCCAGTGTGATCGCTGCAGGACTACACAGACCAGTCATGTAAGACCTGACTTCTGAAGGCAGGTTTTTTTTTTGCTTATGCACATAATAAAACTTACAGTTTTTAAGGAGTAATTTTTATTAACATTTTTTCTCCAGCTTTTGGGAAAAAAGCAGCACAATGCATTCCTTTCAAGTACAAACCAATGCAGCTGCCAGGAAACAGTGTAAAAACAAGAGAGATCCAGGAATGGAAGCTTATATCTTGCTTCCTACTCTGCTTTCCCAGATTTCCTTCCCTCGGTACTCGCTCAGCCACAGGACGTAAGAAGAAAACAATCTGGAGGAAAATAATAATAACACTAAATCTTTGACCAAAAAAAAGCAAGCCTGGTGCAACCAGGTTTTGAGAAGAAATTAGAGGTAGCAAAGATAGAAGTAGGACTGTAGTGTCGCTATGTTAAAAATGCACAGGGATTTCTGCAGTCCTGGACGATGGAAGGAAAGGAGCATTAGGGAAGAAAACACACAAAAGAGATTTCTTTTTTAATGATGTGGAAAGTGACATCTCTCCTAAGAGCACAGGAAAGATGGTAAAAAAGTCAGTAGATAACTGCTCCTTACGGAGCCAGATCTGTCCTTTTAGAAGTAGCATAAGAAAATGTGAGACAATTAAATCAAATCAGTGCTTCTGAATTACCACACCACAAGTTACAAGCCTGCGTATTTCAGGTTTCACTTTCCAGAATTTTCCAATCTCTCTGTTCCATCGTTCCTCCTCAAGTGCCCACAATCCTGGTCCCTGTTCCCTCCCTTGCACTCTACTGATTAAGGAACGCTTTGCTTCTTGCCCATATACAAACCACATGCCCTGCAAGCAACTTCTTGCTCAGTAACAGTACTAGCAGCTCTCAGCTGGTTAGGCTGGGATATGGTAAATATTTATGCAGAATTCACAGACCTTTACCCCAATAAGGAGCCAGGCATGGGAAAAGAACAGCTTCCCAGAGCTCCATAGAGCGGAAGCGAAGTGGTCCCCGAGGATAGGAGCCCACACCCCTGTGAAAAAAATACATGGAGCAGCAAGAAGAGTCCTGCATCTGATCACTACCGCTGCTGGTTGAATTTCTGCAACAAAACCTAAGGCTTTAACACACCAAACACTGAGCACCCCATTTGCAGCTCAACTGAAGAGGCAAATCTCACAATCTGGGGGAAGTTCGAAGTGGCAAGGATGAAGAAATCCAGTCTGAAATAGGATGTGGGATAGGGGGATACATGCATTTTTTGTCAATGAGTATCTAACATTATAACACGTTACATCAGTATACCAAAAGCTTACCAATGCACTTCCTCAGCCCCTAAAATCACAAACAAGAAGCAGAAAGGTTATTCCCCCATCAGAGTTCCTTAATACTTTATAGAGCCGTATGTTATAAGCAGTGACCCTCATTCTCTCCCTTTCATTCTATGAGCTCAGGATGTTAATTTCTCATATTTTACACAAAGCCACAAAATCCATCCCAAGCATCTTAAATAAGTGGGAACTAACAAGACTCCTATGCATTTTGAGAGAGAAAGTAAATATAACAGTACAGAGAAGAAGATAGGCAAGAAATCAGACATATTTCAACAAGCTACTGCAAGAACTCAGAGGTTCTTGCATCCTGCATCACCTAGGCTGACCTGCATCTTTCAGCCATCTGAGAAACATCCGGCTGTTTTCAAGTCCAAAAAGAGCAGGCCGCTATTTAGAATGCAGATACCTACTGAGAAGTCACAAGGATGTTGCAGGCACTGAACTTCTCTTTAGGAAAGTACAGTGAGTGTCCTCCCCCCTAAAAAAAGGTCAGAACTCTCTTGCTTCATTAGCATCAGCACTTCACCCTTATCACCAAGAGAGCTGTAAACTATACCTGTTCTTTTATCCCTATGCCTATGCTGCCTTATTTTCAAATCATGTACGTTTTTGCTTTAAGACACATCTTGGTCTTTGACCTTCTGTCTTTACAGAACTGATACTGATCCTCCAATGCAGCTTCTGACCGCAGCAGCACACAAACACTGCCCGACCTGCAGCTGTCACCCACACTTGCTCCACCGCCTGCAGACGATTCCTTTCTGCCATGCGCAGTGGGTAAGCTCACCCTCTCTGCCTTCACAGCACAGATTGCCTTCTTTCATAAACTTCTACTGGCCCGAAATGCCAGCGATCGCAAGCACCATACGACTATTAAATCTTCTGTTTGCCTGCTGGATGGGAAACAGAAGACAACTCGATGAATACACGAGTTAATATTTCATTTCACTATCTGAAGTATGGTGCATTACATAATGGGCAGAGGAAGTTAAAGATACAGAAGCTTCCTCTTAGGAATTTCTGCAAGTCACAGTAGATGATTTAAGGAGAGCTTACGTCAGATAAAGTAATAATTGTATTAAAACACTGCTCCAAATACACCAACTCTTCATTATTTTAGCTGCTTAGAAACGTGCCTTAAATTAC